AAGGAAGCGATGGTGGTGGGGAAGCTAAGTATTTTTAATAAGCTTTCCTGCAGGCTCAAGTTCCAGATAATATTGGCAATTAACCTACTCTAATGGCTACTTTTTCACTTGTGGTAACTGTTGATTTATTTAAGCAGTGCAAGTATTTGCTGATAAACATAATGCCTACTGGACATGTTTTGGGAGTTTTCATGGTAGGTGGCTTTAAGGTATGTCTATCCTTGAAAAAACTTGTTTTCTTTAACCTGGAAAGCCTGTCTACGCCTTGACCAAGAGTCCCTTGACAGCTGTTTAGTCTTTTTAAAGTAACTTCATTTTGGATCTTTATGTCCTTTGAACTTTGTCTATAAAGAAGCACTTGGCCTCCAGGGCAAATGCTGTGGTATGTAAGTTCCTGCCACTGCTCCATGTGTTTTTAGGATGTATCTTGCTGCTTGTGTGCTACTGAAGAGCTGGGATATGAAGCTGGGATGCACGAGTCCTTGTAGTCCTTTCAAAACACTAATTATTAATTGCATTGTTTTCTGTTCAAGTAATGAAATTGGGGTGCTTCAAGTTTCTCACACAGTGCTCTCTTTCCATGGGGATTAAGAGAATTGAGATGTCATTTTTGCATTCATTCAGGTTCGTGTGGCAGGTACGAGCAGGGTGTTGGCTCTGACTGGGGACAGGACAGCACAGCATGAGGTACAGGGGGTCGCTGGCAATGGCTGCAAAGCTCTGCTTACCTGTCAGTGTATGTCGAGTTGACTTGGTACTGTGGTAGTCAAATGTGCAGAAAGAATCCTTGCTATTAAATAATAGTTTTATTTTATTTTATTATTTTTTTTTCTGTAGAAGAGGCATAAAAACCCCAAACCACAAAAAAAAGAGTGTAAATGAACCCCTGAAGCCTGATATTTTAAATTTGATACAGCCCTGAATTCTGAGCTGTCTTAAAATGTCTGATTCCTGTTAGACTTGTGTCATGTGTCAGTAACCCTTTTGAAATATGACTGCGTATTTATCTCTGTTTTCTAGTTGAACCTGCCCTCTACTTGACAGAAACAAGCATCTACAATCATTAATGCCGTAGGGTCAATGTAGTTGCAAAAAGGGTAACTTTGTGCTGTTGTGCTCCTAACAAAATTGCCTGCTGAGTTACAGTTCTTGATTGTGAGTTTTGGTGATAGTTTATAGACAGAAAAATGCCAAGTGTGGTTTCTAATACCTGAATCCAAATCTTTTGTTGCTAACTTATCCAACACAGCATTTTCATAACTTCAAAGAAAAAAATCAGAGTTCTGAGAATATGAAAACTAAAAAAAAAAAGCTAAAATTCTGTGAATATTCTGAATTTTCATTATATGTGAAACAAAGCCCTACAAAAATCACAAAATGCAGTTTTGCAGTAGCTGTAAGGAAGGTAAATATTTGGAGGTCTATACATGCATTTCTGAAGTATAGGACATCTTACAGTATTTTAAGGATTGCAAGATAATAAATTGAAAATATGAATTACTATAAAAGTTAATTTAATCTAGGGCTTCAAACAGCTTGACTGTTGAAGTTCATGGGTTTAAGATTGTATGAGTACTTAAACTTGGTATTTTTTATCCATTAGCACATTTTAGTTTTTAAAAAAATTAACCTTGACTCTGAATCCTTTGAATTAATTTATTCTGGGGAAAAGAGAGCGTTTTTGCAATAAGTTTTCCCTCAGGTGTGTTTTTATATACACTTGATACAGCTTGTTTGCTATTTAAGATAATGCTTGTGTTTGAGTTTCTTTTTAAGCTTTTAATTGAACACTAGAGTTCAACTATGTGATTAACGAATTTGAGAAATTTAGCATTGATCTTAATTTTTTTTAATTTCATGTTTGTTTTAAAATCAGGTGAAGCAGTGTACTTCTGGCTGCTTTGTGCTGTAATGGAGCAAGTGCAAAGCAGCTGCAATGTCTCAGGTGTGCAAGAAGGCTGAAAGCCTGTGCCTGTTGCCAATGCAGCCCAGCAGTTGTGCAGCTGTGAATCCTGCCCTCAGTTTTCACTCTGTGGCCAGAACTCTCACAGCTGGGATGAGTTGAAGACCAAAGACTGCTTAATCTATGTATTTTGATAGGGACCTTTGCATTGCTGGTGTCACGAGTCTTAGCTACTCTGCATGTGGCAAATCTAATGTGTGCCAGGTAATCACAAAATCACAGAATTGTTAAGGTTGAAAGAGACCTCTAGGATTACCAAGTCCAATTGTCAACCTAGCACCACCATGCCCACTAAACCATGTCCTGAAGTGACACATCCACACACTTCTTGAACACATTCTGGAATGGCGACTCCACCTCCCTAGGCAACCTGTTCCAGTATTTGACCACTCTTTCAGTAAAGAAATTTTTCTTAATATCCAGTCCACCCCTCCCCTGGTGCAACTTGAGGCCTTTTTCTCTTGTCCTGTCACTAGTTACGTGGAAGGAGACCAACCCTCACCTTGCTACAACCTTCTTTAAGGTAGTTGTAGAGAGCGACAAGGTCTCCCCACAGCCGCCTCTTCTCCAGACTGAACAACCCCAGCTCCCTCAGCTGTTCCTCATAAGACTTGTGTTCCAGAACCCTCACCAGCTTTGTTGCCCTTCTCTGGACAGGCTCCAGTGCCTCAATCAAAGTGTGTCTTCACCAGTGCCAAGTACAGGGGAAGGATCACTGCCCTGGTCCTGTTGGCCACACTGTATCTGTTACAGGCCAGGATGCCGTTTGCCCTCTTGGCCACCTGAGCAGACTGCTGGCTCATGTTTGGGTGGCTGTCAACCAGCACCCCCAGGTCCTTTTCTGCCTGGCAGCTTTCTAGCCACAATGATCGATAATGATAGGTGATGCAATGTCTAAATTTATTTAAGATACCAGTGCTATTGAGCCAGTTAACAGTAATGACAACTTAGATGTATGTTGTTAGAGATGGTGAAAATGAGTGGTTTTTCCCCTGAAACTTGTGTGTTATAACTCTGTATCCGAGAATTCGGAAGCTTTTCATCATTGTATTTAAAATCAAATTTATTGATTTTTAAAATTATTATTATTTTTATTTTTCTTGGGTCTTGAGAGTGGTAGTCTGTGTCTAAAACTCTTTCCATCATGCACAGCCAAAGGATTTTGAATTTCACCAGTGCACAAACAGCTGTGATCTTCATAATTGGTTTGTGTGGGTGTCAGCATTTAGGTCTCCAATGAAATTTGTCAGAAAAGCAATGAGAAGGGAATTTAAGCAGAGAGTTGGCTGTATAGATGTTTTAGCAGTAATCCAATGTGTAGCTAATTGGCTAGTATCCAAATTGTGCTTCTGATTGTTTGTTTTCCTCTGGGGAAAGAATGATATTGAATACTAGATGGCTGCTCCCCTGAAGGAAAATAACATAAGCTTTCATGTCTAGGTATCTTCTAACACCAATTTTTTTAGCTCGTATGGCACAACTGTCTCTTTATCATGCATACGGATCATGATATCAAAACTAAAAACGTTGGATTGTAGCAGCAAAATGCTGGCCATGTGTAGGCCAGCAAGGGTTTTGCTGTTTACATTTAGTGCCAGAATTTTACCCTAGGTTGTTAGATGAATTTTTAATGTTTAACTTTTGCTTGTCATCCACAGTATACTAATTAGTCAGAATGCCAAAGGGGTGTTTTGCCAAAAAGAAAAAGCAGATTATTTCATGTTCATGGACTTCTACTGCTGGAGTCAGATTGAAAACTTTGTCTCCAAGGAACGTCTGCTGGAAGGTTTTAAAATTACATCAAATATCTAAAGTATTCCAGTCACATCACAAGTTAGTTAATACCTGAGGGAAAGTAAAACACTGGAAAGGAAGGAGATGTAACAATTGCATTTTATAGTTGGTTTTTTTTTTCACTCTTCCAAATCTTAATAATTTTACTTTCCATCCTTTGAGATTAGATTTTTACAGTTGTCAGTCAGATGGACGAGTTCACCAAAGTCAGTGGAACTTCTAGGAGTGAACACTCCCCAGTTCCTATGAAGTGTTGGCTTCTGCTTTTTACTGATTTTTTTTTTTTTCTTACTATTATTGGGTAAACAGCATTTTATTCAGCAGAAAACATTTGGAACATTATTATGAATCATCTTGCTTTATTTGTAATGCATTATAAGATTGTTACTTGCATGAGTAATAACTCTGAGAACAGCCAGTATGGGTTTTTTTCTTTCTCACCTGTACAAGGTGCTGCATTTTGTGCTGTACCACTGGGTAAAGCTGTGAGCAAACACTGCCAAAAAATCTCCTTTGGAAACCAGGCAGCTATAGCCCCTTAAGGAGGCTTTTGTCTTGTGGATTTAAAAACTGAAATATACCTTAAGCATTATGCGAAGCGCAGTTCCAGTTTTCTGTGCCTCAGCTGCAGCAGGGGGTTTTCAGAGGGACACAAATAATCTGATGGTACATAGGATGTTAGTGGACCTGTCAGAATAAGCTGCAGAGAAAACCATTGCTTAGAATCAGAATTGCTTAGGTTGGAAAAGACCCTAAAGATTGAGTCCAACTCTTAACCTACAACTACCAACTCCACCACTAAACCATGTCCTGTTCTGAAGGAAGAAGTAAAGAGTGTTTGGGGGTTTTTTTGTTTGGTGGGGTTTTTGTTTGGTGATTTGTTTTTTGTTTAAAGATAAAATTGTCCCTGTAGCTTATATCAGTATGTTCTGATTTTTAGCTCGGCGTAAGTCAGTATTTGTTTTTCATAGCAGTTAATGCCCAGGGTCCAGTGGAACTATGGGTGCTTCCTTAAGCCTTCGTATTGAAGTGATGGTAGTATTTTGTGTGTGCCTAAAGGCATAATTGCATATGCTTGTGTCCTTTAACTGTTGCAAAAGTTGGTGTTGTATATTCCATCAACTGATAATGCTTCCTTTAGTTCTTTGAATAATGACTTTTTAGAAGTAATCAGTATTGAAAGGTTTTAGATGTATTTCAGGGCTTGTTTAAGGTATGACTTTTTATTTATTTTTCCTTTTAGGAGGCCTGGCTTTAGCTCAAGTACTATTTTTTTACGTGAAATACCTGGTTCTGTATGGTGTTCCTTCCCTCCTCCTTCAAATGGATGGACTCAAACCTCCAGCTCTGCCTTGCTGTGTGAGCCTGATGCACAGTTTCACTAAAATGTGGAGGTTAGTTGTTGCTTTTCAGACAGTTTATTACAGTTATGGCAGTTGGTGTATAAGAACAGGCACTTCTGTGTTCATGGTCACATAGGTGTTTGCTTTCATGTCCTCATGCTTTTTCTCTCACCCTCATGATTCATCTTCAGAACTTTCTAAATGAACTTCAGTTTGGTTACTTTTTTCACAATGCAGAGGATCGAGGCAAGCATCCCTTTTAGCATTTTCATCCTTTTTAAGCAGGCTGAGTCTAGTTCTGTTTATTGGCTTCACTAACATAGCAATTATTTTTTTTTTAGGTATCTGTTAAATGGTTCATTTTTCAGTCTTGGTCTAAAACCCACATTTCAGATGCTTGATTAATCACCTTGTGAGGAAAGCTGTGCTTATAACACTTTAATATGTAGTCATGCAGTAGAGAGAGTCTTCAAGGCATTAAAAATACTACAAAAATGGTAATTGTTTATAATGTGGGATGAATTTCTGGAACCTCTTTGCTTTTAAAGAGTTTTAGCACAGTATTTCACAAGAAGGTATCAGTTTTGGATCTTATGGTTGCTTTAAGTCAGTGTTCATTGAAGTGTTTTCCCTGACAACTGTCTTTCAAGTGAATTTTGCTGCTGTTTAGCCTGTGTGTAACAGTGGATCCACTTGACTTCTCCCCTCTCTTGCTGTCCTCTGCACTACCTCTATTTCTTCCAGTCTGTGGGATGCTATGCCTCAGACTTCTAGAAACATTACCTAAAATGAACTGAATTTGTCAGTCTTTTAGTGCAGAGCCTAGCACAAGGTGCTTGCCCTGTTTGATCTCTGACTGCTTTGTGATACAAATAAAGTTCTTTCATTTTAGTAATGTAAGCAGCAGGCCTGGTATTATCAGAGCTTTGGATGAGATTTTAGTTTTGTTTTCAGCTTGAAGCTAGTTGTAACAAGGAGGCTTTAGAGTTTATAATAGCTGGCAACTGTAGAAATGTAGTATTCAAAGAAATGCAGCAGAAATAATGCAGAAAATGGATGAACTGTTAAAAATTGAGTTACTAGCAAATGCCTTCATTTAAATTCACTTTCAGAGTTTGAGCTGAACTTATGACCTACAAAGGTGATATAGAAACCTGTGGTTTTTACCAGGCAGTCTCCTGAGAGCAGCATCTCTTGGCCTGCTGGCCCTTGCAAGCAGAGTTGCAAACAGCAGCTTTTTTTTTTTTGGCTTCCTCTCCCAGTTATTATACCAGGGAATCTGTCTATTGCTCTGGAGGCGCCAAATGAAACTGAACTTCAGCACAAATAGTAATGACACTGCTGTGCCAGGTAGTTATAAAAGATGTTGAAAATGTACTCTCTTCCTGCAAAGATGTGGTATATCACAGTAAGAACATTGAGTATTTTTTACAAAACAATTATAACACTTAACTTGTAAGAAAATTAAAACCAGTATCTAAACAGAAAGACTTATTTTTTTTTTACAGAAGGAAAGAAATGTGAACTGTTGATATTTATCATATGCCCAAGGATTTCTTTCTTATACATATCAAACATTCACTGACAGAAATAATAAAATCTCATAGATGGGATTTGGGGTTTGGTTTTGGGTTTTTTGTTTGGTTGGCTGAAAAAAATAAGTTCACATACAGCTGATTTAATTTTTTTGCTCTCAAAGTCACATGGATATTAGAATTTCCTATGGCTGCTAGTGAATTATGGGTCATTCTTTATCTAAGAAATCTCACATAGCTTGCCCTCTGAATCCCTGAGTTATGATGCCCTTATGCCTGTACCGTTAAACTCTTCAATCACTACCACTCAGAGGTCTTCCAGTCTTTTGATGTGTTTTGGTGTGTTGTATAGGAACGTCAGTGTTAGAAACAAAGACTATTCCTACTTCTAAACTGTATGACTGGAAGAGGAAGTGTGGAAATGATGGGTTTAGCATAAAAGCTAGCCAAAAATGGAGAAAGTAAATAGCTTGCATTGTTAAGACTTATGGACAGTGACAGTGTTTCCTTAAAGCCACTAAATGATTTTTTTGTAGTTTGTGAATACATGGACTTTAAGTGAATGTTCCTAACAAATCTGTCAGAGTGGGTCAGACTTAAGACACAGTATTGCCGGCTTTATGTCTCAAAATGATTAGCAGTGCGGGTTTTGAAGGAGAGAAGGTAGCCTGAAGAGAAAGACAACATGAATGTCATGAAGTAAGGAATGCAGATACGCTGCGAAGGAGTCTTCTACCACCACCTGGTGTCCCTTGAGCATAACGAAGCTTTTGATCTGATACATCCAGACCAGTGTCACTTTTAATCAGTACATGCATACATTAATTCACTGTCATACAGCAGGTGGAAGAGTTTTCAATAAGAAAGGTAAGAAAGATACCACAGAGTGTCTAAAATTTCTCTGGAGCTGAAAAACAAAGCAGGTATTAGGAAAACAAATCAGGTACTCTGCCTCCCTATTTATGGTACTAAACAATAAAACAAATTAAGTCCATTCAAACTTAAAAATGAAAGGCTTTAATTAAAAAGGATTTATCAACATTATAGTAGATTCTGCCTAATTTGCATTTGTCTCAAGACAAATACAGGTGTTGAATGTGTTACTGTGTCTTCATTTTACCAGGATATCGTTATCTTGCTCAATATGCAGCTGCATAGCAAGCAAATGCATGATAAATTTATTGCTATTCAAAAGCTTGATTATAGCTGTGAAAAGGAGATTCTGATTCTCCTGATTTCCAGATAGGGAAGCACTTCAGTAACACACCAAATTAGTTTTTGATATTGGTTTAATCTTGTCATGAGGAATTAAAACTTGGTCTTTGTTACGAAAGTCGAAAGTGAGGTAATGACTGATGTGAGAGCAACCAATGTTGTTGGATACTTCTAAGGGCTTTTAAATAGTTGTGGCAAACATCAGCTTTGCCCATCAGTGGTGCCACTGGAAAAAGTCATGCTGCTGCTGAAAGTTGAGAGTTGAACTGGAAAAATATTCCAGTGGAGGAGTTAAGCATATGAAAACTACAGAAGCAATAGATAGCACTTAACTAAAACCTTTATTGGTGAATGACTTTGGCAATGTATTCCACCAAGAAACTTGTCAGTTTGTAGATTAGGACAACATTTAGCACTGATGCTGTTCATGGAAAAAAAAAAAACACAACACATGCTTCCATTTTTGTTTCCATACTATGCTACTGAGTTTGAGTGTTGTTCTGCAGAGATGCTGGACACATTGATCAGATATGTTTTGGTGTGCTGTGGGAACAGCATGGCATAAGGAAACAGTTATCTCTGGTCATAGACTGATAAGAGATGTGCAGAAGCACAGCTCCTCTGCCTTTCCACCTTAAAATTTGAACAGTCTTAACTATCTTTTTCCCAAGATAATTTAGAGACAAGTATGTTGGGGACAAATCATGGTAAAACTTTACGCATGTTTAGGCTAGCCTCAGCAAGGGTGGAGGCTCTGCAGGAAGGCAGTGAGAAGCAGTATTTGAAAGGTAGATTTCACAGGCAACAACTTCATCCAGAGTAAAGAAAATTGAGTTTAAGAAATGCTGCCAGATGAAAATAAAATAATGCAATGATGGAGAAAGATCTCGCTGTTTTCAACTACCATGCTGTAACCTCCAGATTCTACCTTGTATTTAACACCTCAATTCTTGACCAGACAGGAGTCTGACATAAGTGAGCCCCCCATTTTCTTGCATGCTAATGGGTGGACTAGGAAGGCTGTATTTTGCATGTACAGACACACATACACAGGCTTATATGAACACAACATTTAAGTTTATCCCACAGATATTTTGATGCCAGCCAAAAGTGGCTTATGATTTGAAATAAATTGCCTGCAATTCAGTCTGGTTTATCTGCCTCATGATTGCAAAAGCATTGCTTACCTTGTATGAGAAGAGTGGCCTATATGCTAGGTCTTAGTGAATTGCTCCAAATTATGTATTAGAATTTTGCTGTAAGCTAATCACATTCTCTGCTTTTAGGAAATGGATCTACAAATGACAAAACATGATTTAATCTGTGTTTCTTCCTGATCCTGATACTTTTTGTCTGCCTTCACTGTTCTTGAAACCTCCCTTCTGGAAACGGTTCCTTGTGTATGTCTATTGGAAAGGACAGTACAGGGTATTTTTTCCTTCCTTTCCTGGAAAATAATCTGAAAAGATAAGTCTGATACTGGTGTTATGTGTGAGTGTGAGCACAAGAGATCACTGTGACCACATGCAGTAATTTTGGAATGAGGAATAAGAAGCAAAAGCTTACCATCTCTTATTTCTCACTTAGGTATAAATATTAAGTGTTTAATTTCCTATTCTTAGTTTGTGGTGAGGCTTAGAATAGGTTTTTAAACAAGGAAAATGGATTTTCTAACCTGAAGAGGGGAAAAAAAATAAATTTTCACGTGTGCTTCTCAGTGTCTTAGCCTGGTTTATCATATATTTCCCTTCTTCGGTATTCTGATTTTTATATTGTAATAAATCATTTTTGGAGTTAACTTAATAAATGTATCAAGGCAAGTAAGCTACTGAAAGGCTTTATGTTGTATCATTAAGGAAACTTTAGGATCAGAAATGGTGTTTCTGTCAATGTTTGGTTTGGGAAGCTTGCTCCCTTAAATTCCCAAGTAGCGAATGTCTGGCTCAAGTTAACACAAACATAATTGTCCAGCTGTAGCTGTGCTACAGCCATGTGTAGTCAGGGTGACATCCCTGCCTCTGGGTTCAGAAAAAGGTGCCCCTACAAGTTCAGGGGCTTGTACTCTTAAACTCCAGCTCTTGCTTTCTGTGAGTATTGTAGTGGTCTTTTGCTGTGGTGTTTCTGGGTCGATGGATGGTCTGAAATTTGAGATAGATTTAGGGAGAAAATCTGCATCTTACGAGTTTAGGTCTCTGATTATATGCTAGTAATAACACCAAACCACTATTGTGTAATCTGTCATTTGAAAGTAATTACAGGGGAAAAAGAATGGATACTAAATGTTGGGTCATAAACTCCTTT